AGTGAGTGAAGAATTATCATAATCTGTCAGCAAACGAAAAATCATTAAAAGTAATTACTTCTGATAACAGATGTGGATGAAACTTACATCTATGACATCTTACAGCAGAGCAGACTGTACAGACAGAGTTATGTATATATATAAATTTGAATTACTCATATGATGTAAACTACCAGTTTGCAGAATTATCCACAAAAATTCCTGAAAGTTAGTGTTTACTGTGTACTGTAGTCTCTCGTGTAACCCCCCCCCCCATTTTTATCAGAAAAAGCATATGAAATTCAGGGGTGCAGCTTATACATGCAAATGATTAGAAATAGATGCATACAAACAGCTGGCAACACAGCAAAATGTATTTAATGATTGAGCATAAAATACATTGTTGGGTGTAAACGTTTCATAGTATTGTGGTTGCTGGTCATGGTGACCAGTTGTGGGATACTAGTATTAGTGATAATTAATACTGGTAGTGCAGCCAACTACTGTAGTGATCGACAGTGACAGTGAATAAGGAGTGCTAAGCACAGAAACATGTTCCATATGAAATTCAGGGGTGCGGCTTATACATGCAAATGATTAGAAATAGATGCATACAAACAACTGGCAACACAGCAAAATGTATTTAATGATTGAGCATAAAATACATTGTTGGGTGAACGTTTCATAGTATTGTACTAGGTTGCTGGTCATGGTGAATGGTGACCAGTTGTGGGATACTAGTATTAGTGATAATTAATACTGGTAGTGCAGCCAACTACTGTAGTGATCGACAGTGACAGTGAATAAGGAGTGCTAAGCACAGAAACATGTTCCTTTTGATTGAAAATTTTAAAAAAAATTTATGTTAAGTACTGTTTTCCGCTTAACTGCTTTCATACCTGCAAAATGGGAAATTATTATATACAGGCTATCACTTATCCTCAAGATTTTTTTGTTTTTAATTAGGCATATTTAGAATATTGTATTTCTCCTAAGAGAAATTATATATATAAATTTAAGAAGGTTATGTATATATATAAATATGCATGTGCATGTTTATAGTATAGAGAGTACTACAGTACAATGCAGAAATATTTCATACTGCTTTGCACAGAAATATGTGCCAACCAAGTATTGGTCTTTTCAAAAAAATATCTCTAAACCATTTCATTCTTTTTTTACCTTCTTCCGTTGCCTCTTGGCTTATAAGAAGGGCAGAAAAAAGAGCATTCTGTTGAACAAGTAAAACTTTGTGGTAAGCTGAAAAAGCCACACAAAATAAAGAAAACAAGCAGAGTGAGTGTGGGAAATCAATCGAGCTGGAAAACATCGCACGAAAGATGTAGACCCATCCACGCATGTGCAAATTTAGCTTCTCTCATTGGCCACAGCTTATACCCCCATCTCTCAGGTGTGAACGGAACTCCCATATTTTATGCCCTTATGACTATGCCTCTATGCTCTTTATGCCGCCGTCTGAACGCAGCTTAATGAACGAACGAGCTTCAGTGTTGCATCCTAAGATCAGGAGGTTGTACAGTGTCTACACAAGCTATTTTAAAGTGCCTGTATGATATTGGCTAAGAACTAGACGACCAGCAATAGGTGTTCCATTGAACTCAAGGCTGCCCTGATTAATATTCAGTGAGTAATAGAAACTAAAATGCAGAACTCTCTTCTTCAGTGAATGAGTGATGAATCTTGCCTCTGTGTCAATAGCAGTGATGGTTGACGATTGGACTGAAATCACATAACAAACTCTTATATCTACACAATTTCATGAAATAGCATCACACCAAGTTTAATTGGTCGGGCAGCATAACGTGTGCTAGATGCATACCAGTAATCTTTCTTAATATACTGATGGTTGAATGTTATACTGTTTTGGTGAGAAAGCTAGTGGTAGAGCTATTCTTGCAAGGTGTCCCAGAAACTGTTTTCTATCGTCAAGGCTGCGCGTTGCTCATGCTCTCAGTAGCCTGTGAAAACTTGATGTTCTACTGCATTTTAGGACTTGTATCCCTTCACATACATCTGGGACATTGCTGGTCATCTGTTACAAGGGTGGCCAACTTCTATATGTATTTATTTTAAAGTGTCATGATTTACCTACTAAAATTATCACATTTAACATGTTCATCTTGTTTTGTGTATCAATAAATGGCATTGAGAGAGGGGGTATTAAACCAATATGATATTTTATTAATTGAAAAGCAGCTGCAGAAAAAGTGCAGATTAAATTTTATTTTTAAATGTTATCATTAATGAGAAAGCCATGTCTGCATGCTTCTTGTCAAGCATTCATAATTTGGTGTATATCCAAACAAAGATAATGAATCTTCAGTATGGGAATCAGTAAAACTATTTTCAGACCTGAAAGCTGTCCATAACTGCATTTTCTAGGAATCTTTGCTTTTGGAATGGCTGATTGTTTGACTTGCGTGAAAACTAATTCTTTGAGAAAAACCTATGCATGACACAGTGGCAATCAAAACATTTTTGCCCCAATTCAACATGTCTGACGTACATTGTTGAGAGATCAGTGCCAATGAGGCTATTTCGTTTAGGAATCCTGTATTGGAGCAAAGCTCCTTTATTGGAAAAGTTCCTTCCGATGCCATGCATTGATAAATGTGGAAACCCTGTAGGTAGGGAACAATATTTAGGCTTCTTGAACTTTAAATATGAAAACATTAATTCACATAAGTGTGTAGATGCAAAACAAGCGTAGAGGTATTCTCTGTATTTGAGGGTATCGAGATACTTTTCTCGAGTGATGAATTTCGAAAGACCTTCCTGAAGTTCTCTGGCTTATAAGGTTGGATCAGTTTATAGAGTTATAATTCCATTTTCTAATACTTTTATTTCAATAATGTGTCAGAAATTTTTATGGCAGTATATTTTAAATTTAAATCCTTCTTAAAAGGAAAAGACAGCTATCTGTGAATAGCTTTTTCAAAATTATGAAATCTGTTGAAAGTCTTCAGGCATTTTTTTAAATTTCAGCAGTGCATTTTTCAATGTTTTAATTACAATTACAGTTCCAATATTGCTGTAGGTGATCATATAGATTTGGAAAGTGGCACAAATTGTTATATTAAATATCTACTTTTTTTTTTTTTTTTTCCTCATATTCTTGGTGAGAAAGTAGTCTTAATTCTTCCACCCCAAAGCATATGGCTTACTTTTAGTGATGCTGCAGCCACTGCACGTGATTTCAACATTGGCTTTTTATAAGCTCTAAACTGAACCTTGAGATCCCCAATTTTATTTTATCTTGAACATTGTTTTGTGAATAATCTATTTGATATTTGTTTGTAAAGTTAAAAATGTACTACTTCAGATTACTGTTTTTAGTAATGCCTTGGGAGACAATACGTAGAAACAAGATGCCACTCTTATTAGCTGGTGTCATAGCCATATTGTCAGTATTAACTATAATGCTAAAGAAGCCATTTGTTTCTGCCATCTGCGACTGTTTGAGGTGTGACGAATTTTTGTTTGTGTGTTGAAATCAACTCCTGCTAGCTGTGATCAGCCAGTCAATCGTGACTGACTTGTTTTCTTCTATTTATTTTGTTAGTGCTGATACAGAGTGACCATGATTAGAGTGAATGCTTACAGTTTTTTGCTCACATTGCACAATTGAAGCTGTGTTGTTATATAATATTTTTTAGTGCGGTGTTAAGATTAGAGAACCCAAAAGTTCATTTTCATCATATTAAACACTTTTATTAAAAAAGGGGGGAATTCTAGTTATACTGCTGGAAAAATTTTCTATTGCATATAAAAAAGTGCTATTTATGATGAAGTAGTTTGAAAAGTTTTAAGCATGAAAATTTTAGCCTTAATAATAATCCTCTCTGGATGACCATCCTCTGTAAACTAGAACTTATTAAAAGAAGCTATCACTATAAATCCAAATACTTCATAGAATAAGCATTCTAAATAGTACAATATATGATAAAGAAGACTGTGTATGCAAACTGCTTGCGATCTTTAGTTGTCCTATACTTTAACAGAGCAGAATATACTTGCTGAAATTTGGCATGTGATCTTTTATTAGGAAAAAAAAAAAAAAAAATGAAGGTGCTCCTTTTTTAAAACAACTTATTACTGAAGAAGTGGATACTATACAACAATATTATAAGAAAAATATGAGGTGTGCCTAAAGAACCTTCTTTAGTAACATCAAGAGGAGAAGCTGCATTCCCAAAAAAAAAAAAAAAAAAGTAATGCTTTGTGTATGACGAGACTACAACAAATTGTATACTGTGAATTTTTGCCACCAAATTAGACAATAAATGCCAAAGAATGCTGTTCCCAAATAGCAATTTTAAAAGCAGAATTTGAAGCAAAGCACCCAGAACTAACCAATCTTTGATGTGTTTTCACCTATCATGCTCAGCCTCACATTTCGATGAATGTCAAACAGAAACTTATTGAGTATAGTTGAGATGTTTTGTGTCACCCTCCAAAGTTACTAGATCTTGCCCTTTTGGATTTTTATCTTTTTATGTCTCTTCAAAATTCTCTGAATGGCATTGAGTTCATTTCTTTGGAGAATGTCAAACAACACATCAATAGCTTTTTTACAAATAAACCTAATTATTTTTATAAAGGAATTATCAGGCTGTCTGAGAGATGGCAAAAAGTTTTAGAACAAAATGATGCTTATGTGATTAAATGAAATTTTCTTATGTGTTTGTACTGTTTCATATGCATTTATCTTCAAAAAAGAAAGAACTTTTTTGATGATCTAATACATAACTGCATAAATATCAATCAAAGTATTATTGTATTAATCTTCAGTAATCACATGTGCAAATAATATTCATCTCTTAAGAATGAATCTAACACTAGAATGTTATAACAAAAGGACATAGAGTTCCCCCCCCCCCCCCCCCCCCGAATTTTGATGACTCTTGCAAAAATTTATCTTGGCCCTTTATATGCCATGGTTCAAAAAATATGTTGGAAAGTTTCTTGTTTTCCATCCTTATGATATATTCCTTTAACAGGCAATTGCTTCAAGATTGTGGAATTGGTGCTCCAGTATCCAACTCAGAACAAAATGAACCTACCCCAGTGGTGAATCAACACAGAGCTTTAGTATTTTGCCAGCTGAAAAGCATGCTTGATATATTGGAAAATGACTTATTTAAGTAAGTTAAATTCATTTTTAGTTTTATTGTTTCTAACAACAAAATGTTAACTAAGCTAACTCTTCTGAAATTCCTAATTTATGAAATTATAAATTTTTATGGCCTTGACTATTCTGGTTCAAAATATATGGATTATAATGTAACCATTCAGAGTTAGAAACCTTTTTTTTTTTTTCTTCCCTTTCTTTCTTTTATGTTGTATTTTTGTGTTTTTTCTGAAAAAAAATATAGTTTAGGAATTTTTAAAATATGAAGAAAAATTGTTTTGCTGTATATTTAGCAATAACTGTGGTTAAGTAATTAAAAAATATATTAAATTTTACTGCATTGCAGCACTTTTTCAGATATTCCTGAAGATTTTTCACATGTTATTTAACTATTTCCTTTTATAAAATATTCTATTTTGATGTTTTTTAATAAATTACAACTCATAAAGCACTTTTAGCTGTTATATAATACTATAAATTCATTAGGAATGTTATTGATTTTAAGAAGAAATAATTACCTCATGTCATATAAGAAATGTGCAAATTTTAAAAACTGCAAACTGTGATATAAATCTACAAAGTTTATATCTGATTTTTGTTTAAATTTTTTTCAGACCTTTAATGCCAACTGTTAGTTATGTTCGACTAGATGGCAGCATTGCTCCTGGCATGCGACATTCAGTTGTTCATAGATTTAATAATGATCCTTCAATAGATGTATTATTGCTTACAACACTAGTAGGAGGACTAGGGTTGAATCTCACTGGTGCTGACACTGTCATATTTGTTGAACATGACTGGAATCCTATGAAGGACCTTCAGGTACCTAATCATACTTCTTCTGGATGTATATTATGTTTATATAGCTTTGTATAGTATGTTAAAATATCATTTTTTTATATTTATCAATTTATTAAAATATCAATTATTCAAGTTATAATGTTTGTTTGTAAGTTATAATGCCAACATAGTTGCCAAGTTTATTTAAACACTTATCATACCTTAGAACTAGATTTTGTATATCCTCGTCATAAAAACTTGCTGCCTGCTATGATAACCAAGAGGTCACGGCTGTTTTCACATCTTTGTCATCATTGTAGTGATTGCCACCGAGATGGCATTTGAAATATCGGAAAAGATGAAAATCACTCTGTGCAAGATCTGGGCTGAAGGGGTTGGTCCAAAACTTTCCAGCCAAAAAAGTCCATTAAAGCTCAGTTATAAGCTGTGGTATGAAGCATTACATTGTCATGGAATAGCAAAATTCCCTCTGTCAGCATGCCGTGCCTTTTGTTTTGAAATGCTCTGCACAGCATTCACAGGTTTGGCAGTAGGCTATCGCATTTGTGGTGGTTCTGCATTGAAGAAGTTGACCAACAAAAAAATGTACCTATCCCAAAACACGGACACCATGATCTTTCGCTGTGACAGAGTCTGTTTGGCCTTGACTCTTACAGGACAGTGTGAGTGTCTCCACTCCATGCTCTGTCGTTTCCATTCGGGCGTGACATGTGAAACCCACATTTCGTCTTCTGTTACGATCTGACTCAACATGGTGTTACCTTCTTCATTATAACAAGTCAAAATATTCAGCGAATTCTCAAATATTTCGTTTTTGTAGTCCTTCCTGAGGAGTTTGGGGATCCAATGGGAACACATTTTCTTAAATCTTAACTTTTCAGAAACAATCTTCTATGGTTCTGACTTAGACAGTTGAGGAAATTCGTTTGAACGAGTACATATGGTGAAGCATCTGTTCTCAAGAATTTCCATTTCAACTGAAACCACCATATTGTCTGTGATCACAGATGAGTAACTAGAGTGGGACTCCTCATGGATGTTGTCACAGCTAGCTTTTAAGTCTCTACCCACTTACGCACTTTGTTTTCGCTCATGGCAGTAGCTCCATAAACATCACACATCTGCCGGTGAATTTCTGCAGCGAATAGATTTCTTGCCGATAAAAAAATGTATCACTGACCGTACCTCGCATGTGGCGGTTAATTCGATAATCTTGAACATTTTAAAGGCACAAAACAGATCGTACAGGTTACCTACGCAGCTGCAACTGAGCACAAGTGATTCCAAGGGATGCGAGACACGATACAAGTATATGTTGCGCCACCTCAGGCCTTACTTAAAAAACACACTACGTCTTTCAAACAAAATAGATTATATAATGTTAATAACAGCTAATGGGTCATAAACTTACTTAAATATACATATAGACAAATATACAAAAACTAAAGGCCAAAATATTAGCACCCCATTAGTAATGATTTTGATAAAGAAAGGAGAAACTTATTGAGAAAAACAACAAAATAAATTAAATATAAATAAGTTGATTATACCAATTTTTACAAAAATTATAGCAAAATAACTATAGTTATAATTGAATATAATTTTTTAATTAAAAATATTTTAAATATTAACAAATTTTTAATATAACTAAAAGTTAATTATAAATGAATAAATAGTAAAATACTTTAAATTAGCGAAAACGTCTTTTAAGTGAGGCCATCATGATTTTCACTAATTCATATTATAATAAGTGTCTGATGTTAGTGTTTTCCCCCCACATATTTTTTATTTTTCCCTGTTGAAACAATTATTTAAATTTGATATTAAATAGGAATTTGTTCAAAAATAAGCTTAAAAGCTTTTTGGCTGAAAATTTCTCTCAACTTTGTTTCCTCTTTAATTAATTATTTCAATATTTTAATATTAAGTTTTTAATTGCCTGTTCTTTAATTTTTTTCCCTATTTCATTAATTATTTGTGTATTTTCCATATTAATTTTGTCATTGCTACTTAATTAATATAGCCCTCTTTCTAAGCTGTCATCTTATTTCTTCCATAATTGCAGTGTATATAATATATATATATATATGTTTCGAGATCCAGAATGATCTAAAATCTGGACATCAAATCTACCAACAACCTTTTTTTTGGGGGGGAGGGTGTTTTTATGCATACATATTTGATTCACCCCCATAATAAAACATGTAGAGGGTCCTGATTCTTTATTTCATTTTGACACTAAGTAAAGTACCTAGTAGTAAATAGTAGGTTAATTTTACCCCTGCTAATTTTTTTATATCACTGACGCCAACCAACCTTGTGAATCGTTATATTTTACTTTCATCACCATATGTTTATAAACGCATGATAACTTGAGGAATAACCCATGCAGCAATGCCTAAACATTTATATTATATATATATATATATATATATTAGTCATTGAATGAAAAAGAGTATGGTAACCATTTATGTTGACATTATGCTTGGCAATGATTACAGATTTAAGTCAAATGCCCTAAGAAGTGTTGATGAGGAAAAATTTAACAAAAATTTCTTTCTGTTTGCTAAAAAAAGATTTTATTAGTGATACTCGGAGACCAAAAGATTACATTTAGTGCTATTTGAATTAAGATTAACTGATTTGTTATTCACATTAACCCAGAACCAACAACAAAGCTCGTATGGCGGCCAAATTTAATGAAGACAAAATTTTTGGAATTTAGAGAAGCACCAAGCAACAAAATTAAGAGATGACAAAATTTTTAGAATTTAGGGAAAGCATTGGGACCCAAAACTTAGAGGCGGCAAAAGTTTATAACTTAGAGAGGTGCTTGGTAGCAGAATTTAGGATCTCCAGAGACTGCTTTAGGCGGTAAGATATCCAGCGCTGGCCCTCGATAAGTCTTAAGTGTATGTAGGAATTTATTTATTTAAGATTCAGATAAGCCTTAAGCATGTGCAAGACATAGACGTAAGTATAATAAACAATACAATTCAGGCTTAATTGTCTCAGTGTGCGATAGAAGCGTCTTTTCATCGCCAATCTGATGATACCAGGGTTTGTATGGTCTATAAGAGTCCTTAAAAGTCCTTAGATTTTTTGGAATCGATTTTTGGTCCTTAAAAGTCCTTAATTTTAACCAAAAATCAGCAGAAGGTCCTTAATTTTAATATCCTGAAATTTCTGTCTGTTTTTACGACTGCCATTTTGAGTGTGAATTAGCATTTTGGAGGAATATTTTTGGCGATTCACTGACATATATGGTTATCTTTTGAATGGGTTCATGGGTTAAAATTTGTTTTTATTTCTAATATAAATGATAGGATACTTGAGTTTCTAAGCAAGAAGTGAAACATAAGCATTTCGAAATTCATTTTTTCTAATAAAGAGCTCTTAAACAACATTTCACTTTTGGGGATGGGAATTCTTCTATTAAACGGTTCTAAATTTGGCAACTTATCAACATTTTGGCGATTTTAAAATCAGTTTCTATAGAAAATTTTTAATTCCGAGATCTGAGAATTTTTTGACGATTTTTTTTAAAAAATATCGTAACATTAATAAATTTCACTAAAATAATGGTAATATATTGAAGTTATATTTAAAAATAACATTAAAATAAAACATTTTTATTTTTTGCTGTCATATATTAAAGTTTCATTTTGGCAACTTATTATATATACAATATTTTGAATATGAAAAATAAACAAGGTATGATGCTATAAAGCACGATTTACGAAACAGCTCTTAGCAAAAGCAAAATTAGCTATTTAATTAACTAAAAATGTCTTCTTTTTAATTTTTTTCATAGTAAGAGTTTTTCCCATGTAATTGTCTCAGAATATGCATCAGTTTTCTCTATAAAATTAATTTTACACTTTCCCCCCCCCTTTTTTTCCCCAAAAAATATTTCTGGTTTTTGCTGTTACAGAATTGGTAGGGGTGATTTTTCTTTAGGATTTTAGACACTGCAGCTTGGAAAGTTTAGTAGGATTTGAAGGCAAGATTATTAGACACACAATTCTAGAAGATTAAAGAAATATGTGACAAAATGAAAAATGTCTCCATGGTATCAACACATAATGGATGTATTTTACACAAAGTTTGCGATGAATTTCTTACTTTTTGGAAAACGTCTGGAAGAACAACAAAAACGTAATATTTGAAAGTTTTACTTCTCATACTAGATTTTTTTTTTTTTTAACATGTTTATCCTCCCTTTGTTTCTTATGTTCTAGGTTCTTTTTAAATAAGAGGCTTATTTAAACCTTTGTCTGATATTGTAGTTACTTTTAGCCATAGCGATAATTTGCTTCACGTCTGCCGGGGTTTTGGACTATTTAACTTTTACCAGATCAAGTAAACCCTCATAGGAACATTGTGGGGAAGTTGACAAGTTAGGAGATAAAGCACGCAAAAACTAGCAAGAGCATTGGTTTGCATATTGAGACAAATCTTTTAATTGTTAGAAAAGATAATTAAAGAGAAGGAAATCGATATAAACTAGCCAAAATGTTTGGGAAGGCTTCAAATTAAAATGATGGATAAATATTTTGTTGAGTATTGTTGTTATGAAACAAAAATGTTTTGTAGCTTTTAATGTGTAATTATCCTAATATCGTTTAAGAATCAATGTCACAAATTGCATGTATTTTAAACTGTGAAATTTTATTAGTTTTTGATTTTAATAGGGCTTTTATAACAAATATTGTTAAAAAATAAAATTTAATAGTGGCCATGTAAATCCATAATGACTAAAGTTATCTAGCTACCTAATTTAATTATTTATAACTAACTGCCTACCCTTAAAAATTATCTTTACGTATTAAAGCGAGTTATTGCATTTCATTAATACTCACTGTGGTCACAAGATAAAACACAAAAATGTAAAAATGCAAGTAAAACTTATTCTTTGCATATAGTGAGACTAAAAATAATACAAAACAACTAATCACCTCTGGTGCTTTAACCCTTTGAGACACGCATATTTAAAATATATTTTAATCTTTAAAAAAATG